ATTTCTCTGATCACAAATGCAGACATGGTTTTATGTTTATGTGGCGCGATGCAACGCAATGCGTAAAAAGACAGTACAAGTCATTATAATCCATAATTATGTCCCCACTGGATGCAACGAATGCCTCGTTTTTAATGGGTTTTAATGTTTTTGAATCATCGCTCCGGCCTTACCGGGCATCATCACAATATGGTGAGGGGCGTAACATTTCCGTCACACGCTTGAGGTATTCAGCTAATCACAACGCACTGGATAGCTGGCCAATCACAGCACACCTCGCTTTTTCAGATCGATGAGCTTTGTAAAAATCGATGCGTTTCAGAAAGGCGGGGCATAGAGGAGAAACAATAATGTACAGTATGTGGAAAATAATGTTTTTTTTTTTACCTTAAACCGCATAAACACATTTCATTACACCAAATACACAAAATAATGTTCTTTTTAGCAGCATCATATGACCCCTTTAAAATGTTTATGATTTAGAATGCAAGTAAAACATTTTTTAAAATAGGGAAAAAAAGAAGGATTTCATGGATCCAGATAAGAGTCTGCTAGTGGATGTTTATTCAGTCAGTTCTCTCTCTCTCTCACACACACACACACGCTTAGAAGGCCAGCTGGTATTTAGTTGTAGGTTGAAATCTATACGGTGGTACTCAAGCAAATTAGATTGCGTGCAATGTCTGTTCACCGTATCTCTGACTCTCTCTCTCTACAGCCGTATCCCACAATCCCATTTCTGACTAGCTCTGTTTCCCATATCTCATCTATCTGTGTCCCCATTCAAACACAACCATCCATCTCTGTGTTTGTGCATGTGTGATGAAAATTAATTTCAAAAAGGACAATTACAGGTTGTCAGCTGCTAGTCCTGGTTTTTCCACAGTTTATCTGCAACCCCCATTTACCAGTCGGTAATGACCCATAATAAAGGCAGCATGCAGGGTTTGATGCTCCTGTTGGACCAACCTTATCTTCTTCTCATATGATGCATTTGTCATGTCACACAGTGATTGAAGCCCGTCAAGTCTCTTAGCAAATTACAGGATGTGTCTTTTAAAACTTGAGGAGTAATGATGCTGTGTGCAGCAGGGATGCAAATGGGAAAGTGAGTAGACTTAGATCAATTGTGATGTGTGGGTTAATTTGTAACTGTCACAATATGGAGCATGGAGGTGAAAATCTGACGGGCTTAGATCAATGATTGTATGATTAATCTGTCCTCAGTGTTGCTGCACTGTGATTGAATCAATGGAGGAATGAGACATTTATGGGAATTATGACAGGGACATTGTGCTTATATTGATTGAAATAAAGCCATAATTAATTGTGCTTAGTAGTAGACAACCCCCTCCATACACATCCTGTAAAAGCGTTCATTATTGATCAGAGCCCAGCATGAGAGAGGGGCTGAAGAGTAAGTGGTTAAAACAAATGCCACATTTGACGTGGGAGGTACAAACATGACCAGCTGTCAAATGGGATCACATGCTTTAAAAGGTGGACAAAGACTGGAGGGACCGAATGATGTCCCCTCGTTAGAAGCATGAGGATGCTGCTTAAGTATGCATAGGGAATTAATCTCCTTGACGCCCGGGTGCATTTTAATGAGATATTTTTAGAATCCAGCGTCACTGCTCACTGAGGATGCACATCGCTCATTATCTCTGTTCACTCGTATTATACACACAGCAGTACATACTGAAGTATGCACTACAGTACGTATGTTCTAAACTATATTATATAACTACACTATAATATACTAAATGCTATAGCGCAAACAATATACTCCTACCAAAATTACCTTGGTGATGCCATACCATGTTTATATTAGAAGGAGTCCCGAATGATTACACAAAACAGGTTCTCATGAGGTTTACATGTTGCTAAAAATAACATGGCATTGCCATGGTATATTTCCAAAAAACCCAAACAAACATAGTAATAGCATAAGGCTTTTTGGTATGTTTTTGTTTCTGTGAAGTACTCTGTATAGAATATTCTACTCGTATTATGTATTACACTAAAGAATATAATGAATACTTCACTATGTACACCATGTACTACACTAAATGCAATAGACCAATATACGCAATTATTCAGTGTGCACTAGACAGGATAATTTCAGAACAATATATATGGTAGTATACACTACTTGATTATATATTACACTACAGAATAGCCTAAATACTTCAGTATAAACTAGAACACTATATAGCGCACTACCACAGTATACTGAATATTCTAGACTGTATACCATATAGTACACTATATAGAATAAACTACCCTTGTTTTATATATTACACAATAAACCATATACTAAATGCTTCTTTATAAAGCAGGCAGTACCTAATAATGAATACACTAAACTACAACCTAGGTACTAGATTATGTATTTTACCTTTACGTAATATACTAAATACCACATTATGAACGACACAGACTACTACTTTTCTTATTAAAGATACACTAAATACACTATACTACACTATTCTGAACACTTCAACATAATCTAAGATATTCAGAATATGCTACTCTATGTATAATACTGTACACAATATGCTAGATTAAAAATTAAAAAAATTGCATACTATGTAAAGCACTACACTGAACATACTACAAAATATACTATGTACTTAATACTACAGTATAATCTAGATTGCATACTTAGATTGTATACTACATATTGCTGTAGAATTGTATATTAGAATATACTACACAATATAGTATACTGCAATATAATAATAAACAATTGCATACGATATAGTGTACTACATTGAATATACTATACTACTTATTACTGTATTTACTGATGACTACTACAGTTCAATCTAGATTGTGTACTACATTATATAGAATATACTACACTGTTAAGTAGACAATATGCAATGTATTAAATAATAAACAACTGCATACTATATAGTGCACTTCATAGTATATACTACACCACATACTATGTACTAAATACTGCAGTGTTATCTACACTGTTTAGTATATTATTTAGATATACTACATTGTTAAGTATACACAATGTATACTTAAAGTATGTATACTGCTTACTGTGTACTGAACTCTACGGTATAAATTAGACTGTATTGTACATTATATAGCATATACTACACTAAGTATACACTACACAATACATAAAAAAATTAAGTGGATCCTATATAGTGCACTACATAGAATATATTACACTACTTACTGCATTCTGAAAACTAAGGTATACTCTTGACTGTATATGTAGCAGCAGAACCTGATTTTACAAAGTGCGACATGTTCCTGGTTCGACATCTTTGTTGGCCCTGGGTTATTTTACAGTCCTGTTCCTCATGTACATGCTATGTACTTATTATAGTAATTACAATAACTAGGTACTAACTCTGAACCTACCCCTAAACCTAACCCTACCCCGTGCAGTTACCTTATATTACCAGAACTTTCTTAGGTAGGTACACTGTAAGTACATGTACTGTAAAATAAAGTGCAACCGTATATTACATTATATTGAATTTGCTATGTATGCAACACAATTAAGTATACACTACACAATAATTAAATAATAAATTGGATACTATATAGTGCACTACATAGAATATACTATACTTCTTACTGCATACTGAAAACTAAGGTATACTCTTGACTGTATAGTACATTATATAGGATTTGCTGCACTATATAGTGTTCACAACACAGTTAAGTATACACTACACAATAATACACGACTGCCCACTATATAATACACTACACAGAATATACAGTACTACAGTACTTACTATGTACTGAATGCTACAGTATAATCTAGATTGTATACTACATAGTACATTATATACTGTAGAATATGCTACACTATACTATACGCACTATACAATAAAGACTACTAAATACTTTTAAACAGTATAATATAATACATTGTTTAGAATACCCTGCATACTATGAACTGTGCTACACTTATATGCTCCACTGCCATGCGCTAACACAATCCAAATGTTTTATCAGGCACTGAAGGTCTGCCGTGTAACACCGTGTTCTATACTACACAACATAGTATACACTACTACACGATAATAATAAACAATTGCATACTACACTGAAAATACAGTACTATACTGCTTACTATTGTATGTACTGACTACTAAAGTACAATCTAGATTGTGTACTACATTGTACTAAATATTACAGTATAATCAACACTTGTTTAGTACATTACATACATATACTACACTGTTAAGTATACAGTATGTACGGTATACATTAAACAATATAGTACATTATACTACACTAAGTATACACTACAAAATACATTAAATAATAAAAAGTATACTATATAGTGCACTACATAGAATATACTACACTACTTACTGTATACTATGCTACAGTATAATCTAGACTGTATACTACATAGTGCATTATATAGAATACACTATATACTATACATACTATACAATAAAGACTACTAAATACTTATAAACAGTATAATATAGTGCATTGTATACTGCGGAACACACTGCATACTATGGACTGTGCAACACTTATATGCTCCACTGCCATGTGCTAACTTAATCAAAATGTTTTATCAGGCACCGAAGGTCTGCCGTGTAATATGATATGTGAACGTTCATAATCAGCACAGTACGCCGTTTATTACTGGTTTATTACAGCCACGCATGATGCACGAGTGTAACCTCGGCAGATTATAAGGGCTAAAGGTGAAAAGGCTGGAAGACACCCGAACAAGCATTTGACCGAGCAGCTGCCATATTTTCGACATGCTCTGCTCTGCTGCACCTCCTGAATAATGAATGAGCGACGCGCACATTGCGGCTCTCTCTGCGGCTGTGAGGGAGGCGGGCGTAACGACGCGCCGGTGACGCGCATGCAGGAGTTTTAATCCTCTGCCGCAGCAGCAGATCAGATCCGCCGGTAACGCGAGGAGGGGGATGCGCGGTCGCTCGGACGGCTAGAACGGCTAAAAAAAAAGCCGCAGACAATTAAATCCGAGAACAATATCTACAGTACGTAAAAAGGCGACCGAAAGCTCCTCCTCTCTCGCTCCAAACAGGCTTTAGGAAGTTACAGGACACAGTGCCTCTCTTATTGTTCTTGAGCAGGCCTGGGAATAGGAGAGCTGCGCTGTTTTGACGCAGTTAAATGGGTGATTACGGGTTCGGTTTGTTGCAGACAGCGAACATCAGCAGCAGCTCCACACGTTTCGGCGGAGGCGCATTCACACCCTATCCCAGCGCGTCTCCGGTGCGCCCCAGCAGCTCGCCTCTGGTGTCCCCTCTTTTCCCGTCACATCAGCGCAACATGCAGGATGAGCCTGCGGGGCTGACAGCTTCTCAGTCCAACAGCGAGCAGAGCAGCGCCACCGACAGCGACCTGAGCCGCTTCTCCGCTGTAGGTCACGCACAGACAGCCGGTGACCTTCAGCGCGACCGGAACATACATCAGCAGACTGAGCCGCCGCCGCCGCCGCAGCAGCAGCCGTACTCCTCCTCCTCCACGGGCCTGGACACCAATGCGCCATCGTCCAAGGTGAAGCCACAGATGGAGTCCCCCAGCGCGCACCACATCAACAACGGCACCTGCGGCAATAACATGCTCGCGGCGGCCGCGTTTCCGGAGATGCAGAGCTCCGGCGGCGGCGGCGGCTCGGTTTCTCCCTCCATGCCCGCTTTCGGGACGCCGTGGTCCGTGCAGACGAGCTCCCCGCCTCCGCCCGTCTCCAATGCCGCCAACGCAATAAACCCGATCCCCACCACCGAGCCTGACAACTTCTACCCCGGCATCCCCTCCTCTATCAACCCCGGCTTCTTCCAGAGCTTCTCGGCCAACCCGTGCCCGGTGCAGGGCTTCAGCAGCCCATTCTCCCCGCAGATCAACGCGCCGCCGCAGAGCCGCCGGTCCCCGGTCAGCCCGCAGATCCCCCCGCAGCAGGGCGCCTTTCTGCAGCAGCGGAACAACTACAACCACCACCACCAAGTGAGAGAACCCATTCAGCCAAACAAAACACATACTGCGTTTATTGAGAAAATAAACGCATGTTTGGTAAAGGCCTTTGTAGAACACTAAAGATGAAGGCGGCTGTCATTGTGACGCAATCGCGGCCTTGAAACGGCTTCTATTGCGTCATAATGCAGCGCTCAATGAAGCCATTGCGACGTCTGTGAGTTGCATACAAATGTGGCCTGTCAGTGCGTCACCACAAGCTTACTGCGTACTACGCAGCATGCACTGCTTAGTAGGATTTGAAAATTAGTATCAGTATGTTTCAAATATGTGACCCTGGACCACAACACCTGTCATAAGGGTCATTTAAAAAAAATGCTTTCCATTGATGTAAGGTTTGTTAGGATGGGACGATATTTGGCCGAGATACAACTATTTGAAAATCTGGAATCTGAGGGTGCAAACAAATCTAAATATTGAGAAAATCATCTTTAAAGTTGTCCAAATGAAGTTCTTGGCCATGCATATTACTAATCAACAATTCCATGTTTGGTAAAGGCCTTTGTAGAACACTAAAGATGAAGGCGGCTGTCATTGTGACGCAATCGCGGCCTTGAAACGGCTTCTATTGCGTCATAATGCAGCGCTCAATGAAGCCATTGTGACGTCTGTGAGTTGCATACAAATGTGGCCTGTCAGTGCGTCACCACAAGCTTACTGCGTACTACGCAGCATGCACTGCTTAGTAGGATTTGAAAATTAGTATCAGTATGTTTCAAATATGTGACCCTGGACCACAACACCTGTCATAAGGGTCATTTAAAAAAAATGCTTTCCATTGATGTAAGGTTTGTTAGGATGGGACGATATTTGGCCGAGATACAACTATTTGAAAATCTGGAATCTGAGGGTGCAAACAAATCTAAATATTGAGAAAATCATCTTTAAAGTTGTCCAAATGAAGTTCTTGGCAATGCATATTACTAATCAACAATTAACTTTTGATATATTTATGGTAGGGAATTTACAAGATATCTTCATGGAACATAATCTTTACTTAATATCCCAATACTTTTTGGCATAAAATAAAAATCGATAATTTGCATACAATGTATTGTTGGCTTTTGCTACAAATATACTCGTGCTACTTATGACTGCTTTTGTGCTCCAGTGTGACTTATATTAAAATAAGCAGTTCTAAAGATATTTTCTGTTATTTTACTGTATTTTTGATTAAATGCAGCTTTGGCGAGCATAAGAGGCGTCCTTCAAAAAGAAAAAGAAAAAATCAGTATGTTACAACAGTAGCTATACATGATGCAAAAGTAAATGTTAAAAACTGTAGAATCATACATCCTAGTAAGAAACATTGTGAATGGCAGTTATAATCTCATAATTTTTGTGCTTTTTAATGCAATTTGGTGTTGTGTCATAACTTGTCAAGAAAGAGACGTCACAGTGGAAATGCAAGGTCAGATCAAGTTCAGTGCATTGTGGGATACAGTATTCTGAACAGCTTGCTCTGGTTTTATACAGTTTTGTGCAAATGTAGCTGGTTTGCACACTGCAGAATGCAGAAAATAGTAGTATGTTTGTCCATTTTTTTTCTGAAAGCGGACACGGGCGCAACAAGCACAAGCCGTGGTAATATCGTTCAAGGGCTTCATGTGACATTCCAGGGATGTCTTGACCTCTAGGCCATTCAGTGAAATCTCCTATTGAGAGCTTAGAGGCCAGAGATGTCAACACCCTGCTAAACTGCAGCAGTTTTAGAAAAAGCTGTTATTACTGTAATCTGCAGTTTACGCAAGTATTCCATTTATATGGTGGCCATTTTTGGTGAATGTTAGTATTCCTTTGCATTTCAGCATTATTTTAATAATATAAGGTACAGATGTGAATCAGTCTAGCATCTGTTTCCCACAAAAAACTCACAAACAGTGATATGCTATAGATGCCTTATGAATGATATGCATTTGTATTTGATATTGCGTCGCCGCAGATGCAATATCTTGGTATCTGGTGCTGGTGAAGTAAGGTAGGCCTCAGTGTCTGTGTGTGTCTGGGCTTGTGGGGGTGGGGTAGAGGCGGAGGGGGGACGGTCACATGATTTTAGGAGTGGCCCTATACAGTGGGGCAAAAAAGTATTTAGTCAGCCACCAATTGCCTCTCTCATCTTTTTAAGTGGGAGAACTTGCACAATTGGTGGCTGACTAAATACTTTTTTGCCCCACTGTATGTCACAGTGATATTCGTACATGTGAAGTCATGCTGGTGTAACAGCTGTTAAGCATGATATTAGGGCTGAGCTGGAGACACCCTTTATTCAGGAGTTCAGAATCATGTGTGTGTAGGTGTGAGAGGTATGACCAAGATCTTATAGCACACTATGAGTAATTTTTATGTGACGGAAAATGTATGTTATTATTGTGGTAAGATTAGTTTTTTTTTAAAGACAATAATTTTAGCAAGGATGCATTAAACTGATTAAACGTGATAGCAAAGACACAAAGATTTCTGTTTCAAAATAAATGCTGTTCTTTTGAACTTTTATAATTTAAAGAATACTGAAAAGCATCCACAAACATTATGAAGCAGCACAGCTGTTTTCAACATTGCTAATAATCAGAAATGTTTCATGAGCAGCAAATCAGCATATTAGAATGATTTCTGAAGGATCACGTGACACTGAAGACTGGAGGAATGATGCTGAAAATACAGCTTTTATCACAGGAATAAATTACATTTTAATATATATTCAGATAGAAAACAGTTATTTTAAATTGTAATAATATTTGACAATATTACTGTTTTTGCTGTACATTTGATCAAGTAAATTCAGCCTCTGAGCAGAAGAGAATTCTTTTTAAAAAACATAAAAAATCCCCAAAAGTTTAAACAGTGCATCAGAAGACAATGACATATTTTTGTATTAAATACCACTGTACATTTCTTTGATATTTAAATACTTAAGAACAACAAATAAAGGCATTTAAAAAGAATTAATTGTACTTAATCTCATTTATTTATTTGCACTTTTTTACTGGAGCTTTGATGAAACAAACCAAAAGATAAGATTATTCATATCAAGTAAATGATCCATCTGGAATCAGTGCAAAAACACCTTTAAACTATGTAACATTGAGTTAAAAATCCAACACACAGAATCAGTAAAACCTAATATCATAAATGAATAGATCTGATTCTTATGACTTTATAAGCCGAAATCGTTGTTAAACAGCCAATGAACACGCAGCTGTAAATGCATATGAATAAACAATCTACAGTTGCATCTGAAAGCTGAGAAACGCTGTCCGGGTTCAAACGTAGGAAGGCAACAAGATACATCTGAAACCAATACCTGTACTACATCCTATCTACCGAGATGCCTTTTGGAAGGCAGCATTGATATATCCTTCACTGCCATTGAGCTCAAGAATAAAATGGCGGCTGAAAGTTGTAGTTGGTGGTCATTGTAGTAGTTAAATATACGCTTGATTACCACCGAAGCTTCTTCTGTTTAGGTCTTTCTTATGTTTAACTAACCTAAAACAGTATAAGCAGTATAGCAACGACTCTACTGGTTGATGCATGTCTACCATTACACGATATATGCATGTGCTGTGTGATTTACTTCTTGCTGCTTAGTACACCATCTTTCCAGTGTCTAGACGCCATCAACGGCAATTATCTCTCACTATCCCTTAAACACTCAACCAGATTGTATGTGCACACTGTCTCACACCCACGCACACACACACACACACACCCGAGCCATTACCCAGTTACACACAAAGACATTACGGAGATGGGTGGGACACTTATTTGGGGAGAGTTGTGCACACAATGCAGTGACAACACATGCTGATTCTGAAAATGTGTTTGTCACTGTTTGGTGTGCATTTGTGAGTGTTTTTGGCTTATGTTCTGGGATAAAGAGAGTGTGTGTTGTTGCCTCTGTGTGCTTGAGATGTGCAGTGTTAGATGCAAAGCTTTAAATCTTCTTACTTGTACAGCAAGGCAAAGCCTGGCCATGCAAGAAACACACACACACACACACTTGCATACGGGCGATTACACCAGTCACTCTCATTCAGATTCCCACACACAGGTTATATTTGTAGCTTTTAGTTTCTGTTAGCGTTGAGGTAATCTGTATTCTGGTGTACTCCTAATAGTCGATGAAATTAACGTTAAATAGACATATGCAATAAAATGATGCAGTCTCTCATTCTGGAGAACAGAACAAAAGTACTGATGACATCATCTTGGACCCCAGGTGTATTGCTTTAAAAGAATACACAGAAGTGCAACGTGAATATTATGTTTTCAAGCACATAAATGCATGTTATTTACAATAGGCCTTTTTTCACATTTCCGAGTTTCTCAGCAGTCGTCATAGTTGGGTTAACTTCGAGAGCAGCGAATGGGAGAGTAGCACAAATATATGTTTTGCATTCCCGTTTGCTCAAATAGCAAAAGAAAAACTCCACGATAGTGTTTTCACGACTTTCAATCAAAGGAAAAAAAATTGAGAGAGACTGATAACGACTGATCAAATTTACCGTCCCGCCCATAGACGCTGCATTAGAAACACCCGCGCATTAAATCTTTTTTTTGTTATTTGATGCAAATGTAATCTAATACAAAGTATAGTGTTATAAATGTACACTTTAAAAAAAAAAATCTAAAAACTTTGAGGATTTACGATGCTGCTGACCGTTGAAATGCGTCATCACAGTCTTGTGAAAAGAGTCCATAAAACGAAAATGTATTAAAGTTTAATTTTATATTAAATCAAATTAACTGAATTTTAGAGTGTTTTTGACCCACTTAAGTAGGATTTAAGTATATTTTATGTGTAATTTCATAATTCTGAAAACGTGTATTGTTGGATGTACTGACAAAATGATAAACTAAAATATACTTGAATATAATTTCCATTGAAACTTGTATGACATATATTTAAATATATTTGTAATTACACATTTGTAATGATAAAGTTAGTCCATTGAAAATACAACTTTAAATGTAATATCAACAGTTACAATTATAATCAATTCCTTTACAAGTGCTTTAGTATTGTAGTCCACACATCAAAATAAGTGTACTTCTTTAAAGTACAACAAATAATAATAATACAAAAAAATATATTGAAATTGTACTTTAAAGTAAAACTTTTAATTTGACCTTATTACAAAGTGCACTTTTTAAAAGTGTACTTAAGTGTGTTAAAACAGAAAGCAAACTCTTTAGAACGTGAACTCTTTAGCACACTTAAGTAGTCATTAATATTATATTATCTGCAATAGGGCTGTGCGATATTGAAGAAAAATGCAATATGCGATAACTCATTAAATAATGCGATATTCGATATGTGATACGATAATGCTTAAGTGCCACATGCTCAGATGAAACAGTTTTACTCGGCTGTTGCCGAGTCAGTTCTGTGAACTTCTATAACTATCTTGTGTCATATATACAGTATATGGTTATTTGTATGTATGTATGTATGTACCAAGAGTTCCTGTAAAACCACAACACATTCCTTGTGTTTGCGCACACTTAAGTGGTGAATAAAGCTCATTCTGATTCAGATTCTAATAAAAAAGCACCCCTACAACAACTTCTGAAAGTGAACGGTAGTGTTTTAATCAAGCATTACATAAAAATGTCATTTTAACATGAGTTTAGGAACTGAATAATAAAAAGGAAAAATAAAGCACTGCTTAGTATTTACTCTTTGAATTCAATATGCACTGATTCTTATTTAAGCTACAAAAGTTATTTAGGTTAGAGCAGTGAGTGATTTTCTCTGTCTTTTGTTCATGGCCCTAAATATTGCAAGCTGTAGTGATATGCATATTGCGATATGTACATTTGCGATATTTCGATATATTGCACAGCCCTAATCTGCAAGCACAGTTTTTATACTTGTAAGATTTGAAATACACTACAACTGTGCATTCATTATAACCAAAACAAGGTATGCAGGTTTTTGTCCAATTAAATGCTCTTTCTCCAGTACTACTAATACCACATGTGTACAGGCTTATCAGCCTGAAATATACAGTCTATTCATTCATGTCAGATTTTATTGCCGATTTGAAATGTTATAGAAATGTGAGTTTGGCAAGTATGTTTTGAGATTTGGATATTTCCCCATTCAGCTACATACATCCATGACGAAAAATAGATGGCCGAGTGCGTTTCCAAGATGACCGCGAGTGAACCCCTGAATCTAGCGTTTGCATTCAAGTACTTGCGTTTTGTACCTAACTGTACTCTCTGTCTGTCTGCAGCCCATGATGAAGCAGTCGCCGTGGGGCAGCCATCAGGGCAGCGGCTGGACCTCTGGAGGGGTGTCCTGGGGCAGAGACCATCGGCGCGGGGGCGGCATGGGTGTGCCCGGCTCGGTCAACCAGATCTCTCCCATGAAGAAACCCTTCTCCAGTAACGTCATCGCTCCGCCCAAGTTTCCCCGCTCCGCCGGCTCTCTGGGACCTAAATCCTGGATCGAAGAAAACATGTTCCGTACCGACAACAACAGCAACACTCTGCTGCCGCTGCAGGTATGTATGTGTGCTGGGATGAGCATCGAAGTACTCGGGCAGGGGTGGGCGGCCCATGCAGTGGGCTCTGTCCATGCTATAATTTAATTGCTGGTCAGTATGCATCTGCAGCAGACGTGTTGTGTTTGTACGCCCGGTATGCCTCTCTGTTGATCAAGTGTATGTTCAGGACCTTCTACAGGATCATGACTCACAATGAGTTCATCAAGGGTTTTGGTGGTTTCATCCTGAAGGAACCTGTCCTCTCCCTTCATTGTTGTTTGGCTCGGGCGGATTCTCACAGACAGTTCTGGACAAAAATAAGCCTTCCAGTAGAGCACTGCTATCGTCGATGTTTGTTTAGTCTAGGCTTAGAGAAATTATCCCGTCTAGTGTCAGTGTGCTTTTTGGCATCTCATGCTCGTATGGCCATCAACCTGTGTTTATTGATTTTCTCCTGGGACTAGGAGGTAAATATTGTCTCTGAAATGGGTTTACAAAGATATAAAAATTTTTATATACAGTACCGTTCAAAAGTTTGGGTTAGGTGCAGTTTTCTTTCTTTTTTTTTTTTTTAAAGAAAATAATACTTCTGTTTGGCATGGGTGCATTTAAATCAATTCAATCTGTTTCATTTCCTGCTTGCTGTTAGATGTGCCACCTGGGACTATGAAATGCACATTAATCTCACAGAATCTCAAGCACAATCTCATGCTCGTATGGCCATCAACCTGTGTTTATTGATTTTCTCCTGGGACTAGGAGGTAAATATTGTCTCTGAAATGGGTTTACAAAGATATAAAAATTTTTATATACAGTTCAAAAGTTTGGGTTAGGTGCAGTTTTCTTTCTTTTTTTTTTTTTTTAAAGAAAATAATACTTCTGTTTGGCATGGGTGCATTAATTTGATCAAAAGTGATGACATTTATAGTACAAAATATTTCTATCGCAGATAAATGCTGCTCTTTTGAACTTTCGTCAATCTTTCATTCTATCAACTTTCATAAAATATTGCTAATCTACTGTATATAATCTACTGAATGAAAGTTGATAGAATTAAAGACATAATATAAAAAGCCAAGAACAAATACTTTAAGTACAAGATGTACAACATGTGAGTTCAAGATGACGTCATCAGTACTTGATATTCACAATGTTTTCTGTTACCAAAAAAAAAAAAAGGTTGCAAATATATAGTAAATGTTCAGTATATTGTCCAGCCCTACTTAATACTTCAAGAATTTTAGATCATGAGAATACCAAAGTTTCTCACTTCCAAGCTGAAATTGAGAAACTGTGAGGGTGTGAGAGGCTGACAGAGAAAAGGAGGCGAGAGTAACACATTTTTGTCATGTTGCAGGTCATGTACATGTGAATCACTGAAGTGTACGAGGAAACTCCCCGCCTGTGGCACCTGTAGCTGGGTGTTCATCCTCTCACTTTGGCTTTAAACCTCCACTGCTAATGTTAACTTTTCAAGTTATACTGCGTCCCAAATGACGCACTATACACTATGCATGTGTCATGTACACTATGTACTTGTGCACTATGCACTCTGTATGGATTTTATAAGGTTATTTTGTCATTAATAATCGAGTCTGATAGCCCCTCCCCCTTCACGATGTAATTAAAGCTGTGCCAGTCGAGTGCATGAAGCATCCAACATTCCACACTTCGTTTTTTTCGGTTATTTAAGTGTATCATCAGTGTATTTGAAGTGTACTTATTCTTTTTGGAATTTTCAGTGTGAACGCACTACTCGCACTATTTATACTACAAAACGTCATAGAATAGTGCATAAGTACGCGATTCGGGAGGCACCTTTAGTATCAACATGGTACCATATACTGGTATTTTAGCCATCCTTACTCTCAACTGTCGGCTAATGTTATTCAGGCCCTGTGTGCCCCCCATTAGGCTGTAGATCGTCATATGTGCTGTTGTATTAAACCAGTTTTGTTTTGACATATTTAAAGTGCCTTTCTGTCGTCAAGAGCTGTGGTTGGTAATATTGGTATGGTCTAATGACTCAGGATTCATTGTTCATTTGTACTTAATTTCGGACCAGATGAGTGTTTGGCACGTCACAGCTAATTCCTTTAATGCCGAGCCTAACAGAACTGAAATGAGGAACCTGATATGCAAGATGTCTGGCCTTCATCACTTTCTTTTTTTCTCTCCTCTCTCAGGAAACAGGTCCAACTCTACTAGTATCTACGGTATTGTTCATTTCCATAAACAGGGTGCCGTTTGGAATTCCTCACATTCCACAGCCTCTCCTCTCTCCTCTCCTTCCTTCTCCACGATTGCTCTGCGTTCCAGAGATCAAATGCGTCATGTTCTGAAAAGACAGATGTAAATGGAGGAAGGAGGAAAGGATAGAGATACAATGTTGTTACAAAGAGTTTGTTCGATTTCACAGGAAATGTTTTGAAGTTTGAAATTTGAATGTCGGTGACAGAGTTGTAGTCGAGATGCGTTTGAATCAATACCGAGACCAGGGTCGAACATGCTCCCGAGACCATGGAAATATGGAGTCCAAGACCATTTTTCCATATATAATTTAGGAACATGTCGTCTCAGTCTTGAACCAGTCTCAAATAAGCTGCTTTCGACTACAAGACATGACAAATTATTTGAAATGGAGGCAGGAGAATAGGAAAAACAGGCTATAAAAAGGTGATTATAAAGAGTCCATAAACGTTTTTCATAAACATTTCAAATTTGGTATTGCATGGTAGCTTGAAACCCAAACTCTCGGATCATGAGTCTTCAGGCCTCGTGTTCTTCGCTGGAGAACTGAAGCACTTTTCTAGACACTATTTCTGGCAATGTTGCTAAAACTATATTTAGCTTCTTGCAGCTATATGTAAGCTCCGCTGTGAGGGCCTGTGAATAGGACTGGATGCTGAAAGCGGCACAGCAATGATATAAGCTCTTGCTTTTTAAAAGCTGCTCTACCTGTGGGAGGCAGATGGCCGTGACAGGGCCAATTGGAAGCAGCTGCATGTGACGCGGTCAACGCTGTGTGATTTCCAAACCGCATCCATCATAAATATACACTAATGTGTCAGTCAGTGTATCTGCAGCAGATATTCTATGAGGAAGAAACAATTAGAATTAAGAATTTGCTCCCATGACTTGATTATACAGTATTATAGCCATATTATACTAACTTGTTCTCTCGTTTTAGTCAAATTGTTGCCACATATTAATCTGTTCCCCTATTTTAATTTAGTTTAGTTGTGGTCCTGTTAAACTGACCAGTGCACTTTAGCATCTTGTCTTACAAAGGTTTTCTCAGCAGTGATGCCATAGAACAATTTTTGGTTCCTCAAAGAATCTTTCAGTCAACAGTTCTTAAGAGAACCCTTTTTTTTCTTAGTGAAAGAACATTTTAATATTCTAGGTCCGGATTCACAAAACATTCTTAAGAAGAATTTGCAAGTTTTTTTAAAACGCCACGCCGCCGTTATTGTTTCCGTGTAAACACCCAAAACAGGATTCTTTGAAAACGGTGACGTCATGCATGTGAGTAGTAAGTAATTTTTTATTTTTTTTTGTAGTACGTGTTAGGTATGTAGACATGTCGATTTTAAAGGCGAGCGCGAACAAACATACACAACAATGGCAGAGTACATGGTACTGTTGTTGCTGCTCAAGAGTTTGCAAACGCTTCTTCAGCAAAGTGTGGATTTACTTCACCAATAATACAACCAACAGCGGAGACGCATCATATACAACCAAGCGGCAACCTTCCGCTCTCTCTCGTGAAGCCAACACGGAAGTGACTAAAACTGCAATTCATCGACTGGCCGCTAGAGGCTGGCTCCAAAAGGGAGTCAGTCCCATAGACTCCCCATGTTAAAATGCCCAACTTTACAGCAGAAAAAAATATGTTTGCAGCCTGGAACAAAAAGTGGTTTTGGTCTATATAACAAATTTTGCCCTTCATGACAACTGTGAGGGGGTGAATTTTTTTATAACTCATCCGTTTAAATTATATTAAGCCTTAAAGTTCTGCATAATTAAGGGCGTGGCCACTTGAGTGACAGGTGGATCGCCGCTGCTGTCACCGGCGTCGAGCTAGGTGGGCGTGGTTTCAGTAACCAGCTCCCGCCTCTTTGCCCATTTTTGATTATCCGGGAGTGACGCGCGGTGACGTGCTGCCAAGATGGCAATGGCAGGCTCCGCCCACTTTGAGCTTCAAAAACGCTCTTACTATTTCTGGCAATGTTGCTAAAACTATATTTAGCTTCTTGCAGCTATATGTAAGCTCCGCTGTGAGGGCCTGTGAATAGGACTGGATGCTGAAAGCGGCACAGCAATGATATAAGCTCTTGCTTTTTAAAAGCTGCTCTACCTGTGGGAGGCAGATGGCCGTGACAGGGCCAATTGGAAGCAGCTGCATGTGACGCGGTCAACGCTGTGTGATTTCCAAACCGCATCCATCATAAATATACACTAATGTGTCAGTCAGTGTATCTGCAGCAGATATTCTATGAGGAAGAAACAATTAGAATTAAGAATTTGCTCCCATGACTTGATTATACAGTATTATAGCCATATTATACTAACTTGTTCTCTCGTTTTAGTCAAATTGTTGCCACATATTAATCTGTTCCCCTATTTTAATTTAGTTTAGTTGTGGTCCTGTTAAACTGACCAGTGCACTTTAGCATCTTGTCTTACAAAGGTTTTCTCAGCAGTGATGCCATAGAACAATTTTTGGTTCCTCAAAGAATCTTTCAGTCAACAGTTCTTAAGAGAACCCTTTTTTTTCTTAGTGAAAGAACATTTTAATATTCTAGGTCCGGATTCACAAAACATTCTTAAGAAGAATTTGCAAGTTTTTTTAAAACGCCACGCCGCCGTTATTGTTTCCGTGTAAACACCCAAAACAGGATTCTTTGAAAACGGTGACGTCATGCATGTGAGTAGTAAGTAATTTTTTATTTTTTTTTGTAGTACGTGTTAGGTATGTAGACATGTCGATTTTAAAGGCGAGCGCGAACAAACAT